CAAAGGTTCGCCGGGGGGGGGGGCGTGGGGTAGTGGGTGGTGGGAGGGGGGTTGAACCGTTACCTTTACGTTACCTTTACATCTTTGTGACTCTATATTTGATCACAAGCTGAAATACGTTGTGGTTTTTTCACCGTTGACCAATAATGCCTCTGTGCCTGTGCAACAGAAACATGACGTGTGTTTGGTTGAAGGAGTCAGATGATGAAGATGATGATGATGATGGTGATGATGAAGATGATGATGATGATGGGGATGATGAAGATGATGAAGATGAAGAAGATGAAGATGATGATGAAGATGAAAATGGTGATGATGATGATGAAGATGATGATGATGATGAAGATGATGATGAAGATGAAGAAGATGAAGATGATGATGATGATGGGGATGATGAAGATGATGAAGATGAAGATGGTGATGATGATGATGAAGATGAAAATGGTGATGATGATGATGACGGTGATGATGATGACGATAGGCTCCGCCTCCTGACTGTCTTTCCTTCTCCATTCCACTCTCTCCAGCAGATGTGACGACGTCTCCAGGATCTTCTTCTTCTACGCCTGACGTTTTCCGACCTGGTCCGGCGCTGGTCTGTCCGGCAGCTGTCTGAAGATGGAGGAGGAGCGGCTCCAGGTTTCCGTTCAGTCTTTGTGTCGTCACAACAACAGACGGTCTGTGCTGCAACAGGTCCATGACCCCCGAAGACTAACGTGTTACACGGCGCCGCAGACGTCCAAGCAGTGGACAATAGACCGCGGCGTGACGGTGATGAAGCTGTGACTCTGGTGCCTGGGGAGGGGGGGGCCAGGTGTAACAACAGCCGTGTCCAACATGTGGCCTGTGTCCAACATGTGGCCCGCGGCCAACGTGGTCGCCCACAGAAAATTCAGTTTGTCCATTTTCATTGACTGTCGGAGGTTTTACTAAAATGATCCTCAGAAACGTCACAACTGAAAACCTGAGGTCATGACCCCAAACAACAGCCTCTTCATCTCCAACTGTGTCTGCTGACACTGACATCAGTCACTGACATCAGTCACTGACATCAGTCACTGACCTTCTCTCCTCCTCCGTTGCTCAGGCGACAGCGTCCTTGTTTGTGTTGAGTTGAAGTTGAAGTTAAGTTGAAGTTAAGTTGAAGTTAAGTTGAGAGTTTGGTCTTAAAATCACAGAAGAACATCAGTAACAGATGAGCGGCCGTTTGTCTCAGGGAACTCCAGCCCATGTTTTAGTCTGGTAGGGTCTGTAGGGTCTGTAGTGTCTGTAGTGTCTGTAGTGTCTGTAGGGTCTGTAGGGTCTGTAGGGTCTGTAGGGTCAGTGATGAAGACCAGTCTGTTGTCCTTGTTGTTGTTGTTGTAAATCTTTGTTGTTGAAGTCGGTCAGAAGTCGGTCAGACTGGATGTCAGTCCAGAGCAGCAACAACAACATGGACGTGTTTCACACCTGGTCTGAGACCAATCAGACGATGGTGTCAATGTTACTGGACGATGACATCATCACTGTCAGTCCTGATGTCAGTCCTGATGTCAGTCCTGATGTCAGTCAAGCTGCTGTGACACCTGTGTATACGCCCCGCCCTCTCCCTCTGCTGGTGAATGAGTGAATTTACACCACTGTGTGTGTGTGTGTGTGTGTGTGGACACACTTGGACTTGTTTTGACTTCTCTCTCCTTTTTTCTCGTTTGTGAAACATTTATTCAGAGAAAAAGGAGAAAGTCTGTTTTCAAAGTTTAACACTTGAAGAAGAAGAAGAAGGAGAG